AAACAAACCAATCAACAAGCTATCCGGAGATCAAGCCGCCCGTGAATGTTGCCATGCATTTGTTGCCTGGTGTTCAGCCATCGAACTCAGGCGCTTCGTGCATTGTGAGGACAGGCTTGTCTGCCGGTGTTTTGCAAAGGACATGGACCTCCACGTTGCTTGAAAGAGTGTGAGCATGAGGATCATGTAAAGGTCTTGGTGATCACAATCTGGATGGCGCCTCTAATGTCTGTTGCTGGAGCCCCACGTTGGGCAGCTGCCTCTAGACTCTAGACAATTACTGTCAGTCTTGTGCTATAAGGAAACAAAACGTCATATGAGCCAGAGTCCAAAATAGTGACGTGACACGTTCGTGAACAGTCACAATAGTCAGTGAGTGGTCATGGGACGCATAGGATCTCAAAATGTATGCTTTGCAGAAGAATGATAACACGCTGACCAAGTGATGGACAGGGAAAACGATCAGACGCTCACCAAATCCTGACCTGCAACTACGCAGCACATTTTGACCACGACTCGCAGTCTCGCAGAAACCGTCTCGCAGTCTCTCACAGTTGACTTGTTTTTCCAGTGCCGAATGCGTTTCTGGTTGCCACACATTCAAGAGTGTCTTTAGCGCAATGAACCCGGCGCAAACCCAAACAGATTCCAGACAACATGGGCGGAACAGTGCCACTTGCAAGATACGTCCCAAGCATAGGCCACAGGCGAGAATCACTCGGATGGAGGGGAATGCTGGAATCACATGATTTTACGTGCAACTCCAAATCTGGAGTGATTGACATTTGCTTGGTGGAGGTTCCCGAATCTGGTGAATGAGTTACTAGACGTATTGCTCATGCTTTTAGCCAGAGATCAACGGTTTGGATCGACCAACTGCAGTTGGAAGAAAGGATGCTTTGATATTCAGCATCAGAAACTGCGTTGAGCTTCCCACAAGTTTCTAGGTTGGTATTTGTAGCTTGACATCAAAGGAAGCTGAAACTTGACTCTGAAGAGTGTCATTTTTCCTTTCAGGGCCCTTCGCCCACTTTGGCGATGGAAGATCTAGGCATGTAGAACAAGAGACCATACTTGTTTGATCGCCAAGTCCGAGATGTGTGCCAGTCTCTCTTCAAGACAAGCGCTTCGTAAGCTTCATGTTTGTCACAAATTCATGTGCGGGCCCCCCTTTGCTACGAGTTCTTCAAGCTGCTCAATGAAAACAAGTTCCAAGCTCACAAAAGTTGCTTCAAACTGAAGTGCCAGCTGGCGAACAGGCCGCGCTGGGCCCATTTTTGAATCCTCGAAGCAGCAGGTGAATCCTGTCAGCAGCAACATCTCAACTTTTGCGCAGCTTTTTGTGCTGCTCTTACATTTCAACCAGTGTGTTTCCCGTGTCCCCCGCAATTCAAACCTAGTATGCAGTACGCCGTACGCTTCTTCAGCTGTGCTGTAGCGTCTGCTGTTTAGACAGCTTTCTACCTCTGGACAGTGCGCTGGCAATTGGTAGCAGCAAGTGAGTGTCGCATTGGCCAAAGACAAACGCATGTGACTCAGATCTTGCGAGGAACTCCGAGAACTCTATACCTCCGATACCAGGCATTTTTTCGCTCAAGGAATCAAGCTCGCAAATTGACGAGCAGGAAGTATTTCTTTGACCAAGGCCTTAGCAGAGCCTGCCGCGCTTCCTCCACAGTTCTTTGTGTCTCTTTGCCTGTGGTCGAACTAAAAAAGAGCTGCGCGTTTGCTGAGGCCCTCTGCGGTGTTCATACTTGCTGCATTTGGCGATGGAATCTTTAGTGCAGTAGATGACACCTTTTCTCCGTGAACCTTTTCTAGCCGGAGACATGTTTCATCCTCATGTCAGAATTCAATTCAGTATTTCGATCCAATCTCTGATTTGAAAGAAGCTGCTGGCCCTTACCCTTGCATGTGCTTCAACTCGTTGGTTTATGGCAAGCCTGAATCTGCATGTGCCTCCAACATGATTGCGCCTTCAAATATGCTCGCCTCAGCTGGTGCTACTTGTTGGAGATGGAGTTGAACCCAACCAGGATTTGCACAGAGTTTGCCCTTTCGCAGTTGTTGTACCTTGTTCGTCAATTCAATACAAAGGTCAAGCAACGTGTTAAGATTTTCGCATGCTCGATAGGCGGGTAGGTACGGCTGCCCAATGCAAACACCTCACGTTTGACCCTAGCTGTACCGGAACAGAACTTTGCATTCGCTGGTGTTTGCAACACTGCCAATGATTGTAGCTCCTTGCCACTGCAATTTTGGCCTGATTTAGGGTGTAGCTCACGGCTCACACGGCTCACACGGCTCACTGCTCTTTTGACCCTTTGAAAAATGAAGCTGTTTCCTCGGCTGGACGAAGTCAAAATGGGAGCGCAATATACTCAAGCCATGCACGTCTCATATTAAGTCTGACTCCTTTTTTCCCTGGGGAGCTATGCTTTACCGCTCTTGCGTGAGACCCTGTCCCTGATTGCTTCTCTGTTGGTTGCAGTAGGATATGAATTTGTGACAAAAGCTCACCGGGTTTCGCTTGATGTCACACGATATCATTTTTGCTTCATCCCAATTGGTGAAACGATGAAGGCGCCCGTGCATGTTCGATGCTCAGTCCTTGCGTACTCACTTTGCAAAGGCATCTGCAGAACATAACGCAATGTAATGAGAGTGACTTGCACATGTTGCGTTTGCCTGTGCGATCGTCGGAGCAGGCGAGATCCTTCAACGATGCATCCGTGATGCCACACATTCCGTCTTCGCTTCGACCCGAGTGACGTCTCCTATCATTGGCTCGAAGCATGTTGCGCTTTGCTAGCTTCTAAACTGTGCAGCAATCAAGTTGCGAGTTTGAAGCTTTGCAAGTGCTCCAGTGCTTGTCTGTGGTTTGTAGCCGGCATCAGTTCAAAATGACAACAAAAAGTTCTGGCTTGCGCGATATCTCCAATGCTGCGTGCGAGTTCTGCTTATTGTCATGTTCGTGGCAGCTCGACGTGAAGCCATTCCTTTACTTAGAATTCCCAGAGACCTGCAATTCCCACTCAGCAGTCTTTGGTGGGATGATTTTCTTCAGCTAGACAGTACTGATTTTTGTTTACGCAAGTCACAAAAGCCACAAAGGTATTTCTTGCATGGCTTTCTTGGCCTTGTGACTCTTAACGGGACTGAGTACTCTTAGGTTTTCACTAGAGTCACCGGAAGAGCGCTTCAGAGCATGTTCAAAGTGGTTTCCAAACATAAGATAAGAAGATTGTTTCAGACATCTTTGCGGTCCAGTCACCGGTCTTCAATAGGTCACCACACTAAACGACGCCTGATTCTTGCAGGCAAAGAGACCGTCAGTCATAACTCTTCCCAATCACTCGCGGTGCTGAGCAAGCACTCGCGGCCGCATGGCCTTTTCTAGAGCTTTTGCGATTGATTGAACTGCTGAGACGTGACTCTTTTGTAGTCCAGGTCCTTCAAGCCATGGACATCCGAGAAGCAACGTGTGTGCTTTGATTTCAAGCGTTAAATAGTAGCAATACCACTGAAGACAACCCCAACAAAGCTGAACTCCGTGTTTTGAAAGGTTTTGGCAGAGCATTGAGCCTTCCTGTGAAGACTTTCGCATTTGGCTTTCGAGCGTTGAGACTCTGCAGCAACTCATTGCACAAACTTCGCAGGCACTTGGTTCGCTGCTCACTACCGGAGGATGATGGAAAACTTGGGACTTCTGCAGTTCACCTCTTCCACCACCGTGCAAACCACTTTTTGCGAAAGGAATCGTTTCAGATGTGTCGAATGTCCTGTGTTGGCTTGTTTCGATGGTGGACAGTGCAGAACGTGAGCTTTTCTTGTTGAAGAATAAGGAAGATATGTGGCAGCCGGAAGGAAGATGCACATTTTTTCTAAAAGGCTTATCATGGTTTACTATGGACTTGTTGTTCAGCTTTGGACTTCCTTGTGCCAGATGGCCGTGCGCGTCGAGTGATTATCCAAGGCTCCTCTGTTTGACAAACCAAGCTCCACAAAACAGCGTGCTGCGGCCTGTGGACGAATTCAAACACTCAAACTGGTAAAAGTTTGAGTGTACCCTGAAGAGTGTAGACAATCCATTAATCACTAATAAATTTTCATAGGATTCGAAGCCTGGACAGGCTTCATTTTGGAACTTTGTCAAAGACTGCCATGGCACCTTCATAGGCTTTACCTGCGTCATGAATATTTGAGTCAAGCCAAGAGCGGATCACAGCTCGCTCTCACTGCACGGCGATAGGAGCACACCGTGTCCATCCATCCGGCACTCGTCGCCTTTCAGAGCTTGATCCAAAATGGATGTGTCGGCTGAGACGAAGTTTGCAGACGAAGCTTGCGCCGCTTGCGCCTTATTGACATGGCTTTGATTCCATCCACCAATTGTGTTTTCATCAGCCACACTCCTGGAAGGTGTTGAGCAACAGGCCTGCCATGTGGAAGTGCGAGAAACAGGCTGCGTAGGGCCTTGGGAGGAGGATTTGCGTGTTGCTGTTGTTCGCCAAGCCTTGTGTTGCTACAGACCCCAATCACCGAATTCCAGACTGTCGCCCAGCAAAAAATGCCGTTTCTAGGGGAACAATGGCTATATAGTTTGACTGGACCCTGCTGCTATCCCAGAGAAATCATCATCTCACCGCGCTTCCATCTCTATATTTTGCGCATCGTCCACAATCTGACAGGCGCAGAGAAACCGTTTGTGAATCCGACTACTCAGATACAACCTCCTCCATCATACTTCGTGACACCATTTGGGGCAGCAACCGCCCATCAAACAGGCAGAAGTAAGAGTTGAGGCTTCTTGGACACCTTTTTGGGGTGTGGATGATGGCCGACCATTTGAAAGGATTGCCAATTCACATGAATTGGCCGTGGCAAAATCAGGGGGCCCAAAACCTCCTTGCCCGTCCACACCCCATTGACCAATCGGATCCAATCTGACACACCGGCGGGCCCCTTCGCGAACTCGAGAGACTTCGATCGGCTCCGAGGCTTTGAAGTCTCCATCGCTGAGGCCAACGACCTGGCTGTCTTGGAAGATTATGAGATCGCTGCTTGGGCGACCAACACAGCAAAAGCAAATCTTCACCTTGCGCCGGCGCAGGGGGCCACGGTAAATCTCCGGACCCAAGCTGCTACTACTACTACTACGACGACGACAACGACGACGACTACCACTACCACTACCACTACGACTACTACTACTACTACTACTACTTCTACTTTTACTTCTACTTCTACTACTACTAATTACTACTACTACTACGACTACTACTACTACTACTACTACCACTACGACTACTACTACTACTCCTCCTCCTGCGGCTACGGCTACGGCTACGGCTACGGCTACGGCTACGACGACGACGACGACTACTACTACCACCACTACAAATAGTACCAGTACGTCGTATACTACTACTGCTACTTCTTCTACTACTACTACTTCTTCTTCTACTACTACTACCACTAGTACCACTACTCTACTACTACTACTACTACTACTACTACCAGTACTACCAGTACTACTACTACTACTACTGCTGCTACTACTACTACTACTACTACTACCATTACCACTACCACTACCACTACCACTACCACTACCACTACCACTGCCACTACGACTGCCACTACGACTACCACTACGACTACCACTACGACTACCACTACGACTACTAGTACTACTACTACTACTGCTACTACTACGGCTACGACTACGACTACCACTACGACTACGACTACGACCACAGCGAGGACGTAGCACATAGCCACCCCATTCCTATTCCAAGGGGTCCAGACTCATGATTTTATAGAGCAATTGTTCCTTGTAATTGGGTGTCGTGTGTTTGCCGAACGGCTCGTGTTTATGCGTTTTGTGGTACGCATTACGAGTTACGAGTTTCATCCCGATTTCCCCTCTACAAAATCACTCGTTTGTCCTTGTTGCAGTGTCTCACGGACACGAGCGCTCTCCGACAGGTCAAAACCAGTTCAAAATGCACGTCCCATCCCCCCAAAATATATGGACCCAAGGGGTCCATCCCCCCAAAACATATCCGCCAGTACGTCCACCCCCCCGTTTTATATGTATGAAATCCCAAGCAGGACACTTTGGAGGAATGCAGAGGGTATACTACTACTACTACTACTTCTGCTACTACTACTACTACCACTACTATCACTACTACTACTACTACTACTACTACTACTACTACTACTACTACTAC